GGATTGAATTTATTTTCTATCAAGATTATAAAATTTAATCAAAACATCTTACCCCTCTAACAAGATTGAACCACTTTGAAAAAAATGACGAAATATGTCAAACTTTATCAATAACTTCGCAGCCACTCCACAAAACTTTATCGCATTATTTTTTATTACCACAGTTATTAGGTTTACGCGACAAACTAAATTATTGTTGAAGTTTATGAAGGTAAATGGAGCCTTAAATTGCTAGAGTCGCCTTAGCGATTTTATTTGTTGTGTTTCAGTTAAAGAAGCTGAGGAGTAAATGTCCCGTTGACAAGATATAAAACTAGGTTTACGGCCTTTCTGGGTAATTTTGGAGGGTTGTTATTTTGTTTTTGCGCAAACAACATAAAGAAAATGAGTTTCTGTGATTCAAAAAAAGAAATTTTATGTTGAAACTTAATTTTCAAAAATCCTCGAGATGATGTTTTGTTAATTTATGTTAGAATGTAGCATATAACAAGATAATTTATTGTATAAGGCCCAGTTGGTAGCTATCTGCAAGATTGATTTACCATTTTATAATAATTCTATTGTTTGGCGCATTACTGGCCGACCAATGGAATTGCGTTTTTATCCGTCAGATTGCAAACCTGACAGTTTATCAGAAAGTGAATAAACCGGCCGTTGATGGTACAGGATTGAGATTACATACATTTAGCGTGGATACACATATTTATTACCGAATTGGTATCATCTCGAGCCAGCACCTCCTTTCGTGTTATACGAGCACAGAGCGAATACGTCGGGTTTGACCCTTCTGGTCAAAAGTTGCTCAGAGTCTGGGTCGTCAGAGGATATCTGCTCGGACAGATACGCAATCCCTATCAGTCCAGATAGCTCCCGACTTTGAGGCATGTCTTTGCACCTGCTGATACAGGAAAGCGTTGAGATACGACTGATTTGCCATAGTGTGGACAGTGACTTTTATATCCAATATTTGCTGACTATAATTAGGTCAATTAGCGTGAATGTGCTTTCATATGGGAATCTTTTATTCATCACAAGGTCTACTCCGTCTATGTGACTTTTCTCTTTGGAGTTTTTCTGGATTAGGATGTGATCGGATTTTGAGGTTGTGCATTTCTCTCCTGGCAAGAGTTTCTCGAAGACCAAGTATGTTTCATTTGATGTTGGTTAGTTCTTGTTCTAATTCTTCAAAGTCGAGGTGTTCTTCGTCATAGTCCGTATGTTGTCTGTGGTCATATGAAAATGAGATAATTTTTCTTTTGGCATTTTTTTTTCACTGTAGTTTCAGTCGAATATTTGCCTCTTCCAGAATCCGTGAGGTCGACTGATTGCTCAATGTGAGATTCTGAGTGATACTCACTGAGGTATTTTCGTATTCTCGAATTCAATAAAATTTGTAAATCTCAAGAAAAAATTAGAGCAATTCAAGATATATCGGCCTCATCCATCAAATGTCGTTAGGAATGATTCTGTGAATGTATCAAGCGTTAACTCCTTTAAAAATCCATAATGTCAAGGGCTTCGCTGAGTAGCTCTTGTAACCACATTGAAAAGGTTGATTAGGAAGGAAAAAATAATGAGAAACACCATATCCTAAATAAAACTATATTTAGGTAAGACAGAATGTGTATTAGCATAACGACATGTAGATGCGCTCCTTCGGTTTGTAGTCCCTGCTTATCCCCAGACGGAGTAGAGACGTTAAATCTCTGACCCTTATCCCCTGTAGTCTCCTGAATAGAGATTATGTTTTAATCTGGAAAAATGACTGACCCTTAAGTGTACTCGATTTTTGTGATAGATTCAATGAGTGCCTGAGGATTTTTTAAAATATTCAAGACATATAAATAAGTGACATAAATATTTCAGGAAAATGCTTTATATTAAAATTCTAATATAAATTCCATTTAAATTCTCTTGCGAAACGGCAAAGAACCCTTAGGATTTATACATATTATCGTGTCGCCAGCAAAAAGTTTAATAAAAAAAGGCGCCTGGGAGTTAGACTTACATTCGAAAGAAAGACGATTCGATGCTAAAAAAATGTTAAATATCTTGGAGCCCTTCAATGAAAAGAGAGGAGAGAGCTCTGACGTGAATTCAAATTTTGATTATTTTAAAGGTACTTAGCGGATCCTGGTTGTAAAGCAGTAATGGAGACCGACATGGGAGTTCACTAAGCAACCGAGCCAATATAATTTCAAGAATTATCCAAAAAATAATATTGAATTTATTTGTTAACTAACTAATCTCTCGACAATAATGAAACCCTTTCCACCTCGGTATGTATTATACTATTGTGGCCCTGAAATTAAATGGTCGATTTTTGTATCCAAGGTTCACATATGGAATATCAGACAATCCACCGTATCCACCATTAGGAAACATGGGTGACAACAAAGGTGACATTTAGATACAAAGTCTGACGGTATCATATCATAATCAAACACCGTGACCTGTCGAAGAACCTTCTCATTTCCATATCTCTGCCATCCAAGCTACGAATCATAACATCTCCTACACGTTATCAGATGATTATGCTCCAATCCAGTAAGAGCGAAATCGAATCGTTGCTTGATATAGGAGATGATGTAGCACCTGCCTTCGATGTCACATGAAATAACTTCATGTGCCATAGTTGGTGCTCTTTACCGTTTCAACAAGAAATATGCTCTATATGTGTTGCAAACCCTCTCATATAACAGTGTACCCAGAGATCTGAAGGTCACGCGCCAACTTATGGCTGCGCACACTCAGGGTCGCAAAGCAACTCAAAGCCAAGGTTGTGTGACGTTAGAACATTACTAGGTCACTTTTCAAGGCCAAGGTCAGGGACGTGACGTCCTAGGAGGGGGGTGATGTGCAATCGGGTTTTGGAGACTACTATTTTTGATTATCGTTATCCTGTTAATATTGCTGGAATCACAGGTTGGCTGTTCCGTCCAGGAGTTTTAAATATGCAATTTTTAACTGGTCGTCCCCTTCGTTCGCTATAGCCGTCGGGGGATGGATGAACTCTGGTACCTTTGACTTTTTTGCCGTTGAAATTGTATCACTAATTGTTATATTGGCTATTGTCCACGTTGATGTGGTAAATCTCGGTCTTTCTGGGCTAGTTTATCGCACAGGGCTTGTTCCCCGTTCTTGATTTACAACTTTTGGCGGTTGGTTGACTAGCGGCTCTTGAAGGGTAAGGTTTGAGGGATCGTCAAACACGTCCAATAGGGAATCTTTTCCAGGCGAAAGGGTGTCCTCTGTGGTTGTCTTTGTGTTGCCCGAACGATTTCTTCTCCGATTTTCGTGCTCCTGTGCTTTGGCCTGAACGGTGATGCCCCTGTGTTTGTTGATCTTAAATTATACTTCTTAATTGGCGTGAATGAAGACTGGAGCTGGCTTTGAGACAGGTCTAGAAGGGCGTTTCCCAATAAAGGTAGTTTGCACTGGGAGAAGACTCAGCTAGTGGGGCTTTTCCCAATTGAGGTACTTGAAACTAGCACCCATAACGAAAAAAGAAAAGAAAATAATGGCACGAGAGAAATTTTTACAATGAACTCATACATGAAAAACGAAGACAACAAATTCGAAACTAATACCCTACAATGAGAATTAGAGAAAGGAAAAGAAAACTATATTGCGTTGTTCTATTTAAGAACGCAAACTACTCGTTCTACCGCTAAAAACAATCTCCAAGGATCATACAATTTCGATGCATGAGAAAAAAACCTAAATGAAAGAGTCGAACCATTTTTTTCTGATCTGAAGAGCTTTTTGATTTCCAACAAATTTAAATATTTTGCATTACGGCTATGCAGTTTCTAACTTTTATTATTTTTAACTTAAAAGTAACACGTCCAAAGTAGCTCATTGTACTTTTCATATTATTGCGATCCAAGAGCCTAAAATGGCTTCTTGCACTAAAAAACATATCTTTTAAAAAAAATTCATTACTCGAAAGTGTGTAAACAAACCTTAGAATCTTCTTTGAATGATAAAAGATAGTTTTTTCAAAACTAACTACCTACTTGAAATTCAAGTAACGGTTTAATGCTTAAAGTTTCGACGAAAGCTTCTGCCAATGTGATTTCATGGACAATAAGAAGGGATACGTGCACAGAATTATTATTTCCATTCCGTCAGCTTATTTGGATGTGCCATCATGGATTTTATATTGAAAAAAAAAAAGAACCATATGGTTTATTTAATTTTCCGCTTCATAAAAGAGAAGATGTCAGCCTCGAAATTGTGTTTTCATGCGCACTGAGCTGAGCATGGAGAAAATGGTGTGAGGTGTGACAGATAGAAATAAGGCATGGAAAATATACTAAATTTAAAGAAAATCGTCCACATTTCAACATCCAAAGATAATTATGGTCATTACTGCTTTGTGAACCTAACAGCTTGTTTTTACGGACCAAGAGGAAATGTTTTTGAAGCCTAGTTCAAATTACAATTTTACAAGGAACATTGATTTGCACACTCGGAAAACTTTTGACATGCAGGACTTGTCTTTAACATTTAGGGAAATGAGGGCTCACTTTCCACCCGGGTGGAAAGTGAGCACTTTCCACCTGGGATCACTTTCCACCCGGGAGGGAAGTAAAATTCAAAAAAGTGTCACTTTCAAACTTTTGAAAAGTCAGAAATATCCACATTACGTATGTGGTTGTAAATAATAGCTATTTACCTAACAAGAGCGGAAAATGAATTTTTCCGCACGCGGCTGCCGTTCACCGAACGACGAGTAGAATTTGTCCTGGATAGAGATATTATAAATGGAAATTTATTCCGTCTCGGCGTGACAAAGTATAAGCAACTAAATAATTTTTCAAATTGGACTGAGGAAACTCTATCGAATTTATTAGGGTAATTCTAATTTGAGCTTCCTTTTTTTTTTTGAGAATAGGCTTTTGGCATTCTAGAAAAAGAATTTAAACCCAATCTCGACTTGGACAAGTAATTTAAGCCTGTTTTTGTTTCTTTCTAGGATTTCTTAAACCAAAACAGCAGTTTTTGTTTTTAGTTTATTTTTTTGTAATTTTTGGAATGTTCGCAAGCTACATTTCTAATATTCAAAGCTGTTGATATATAATTTTTTTAAATTTTTTAAACCATTTGATTAAGTAGGGTCAAGTAGGAATAGGATGTTTTCATCATCTACAAAAAGAACAGAAATGTAAAAGATATAATGATATTCAATGTTTCTACCTACAATAAAAAATAAAATATATCCAGCAGAGCCCATTGAAGGTACTGCTGCCAGGGTAATAGGCTTTTGACATCTCTTCAAGACAAACACCAAAACTCTCTTTGTTTTTGCATCCATCTCATACCATCTCGAATCGTACACATAATCGGTAACATCTAAACTCTGGAATATCACCATTAAACTTTTATTTGGAAAATTTAATGAATCACCTCGTCAATTAACCTTTGACCAGCATAACACAAGAGAAAAGATGCTGCTACATATCCTCCAATAAAACTAATTGCTTTTGGTGTAGATTCCTAAAATGAATATATGGCAAACTACTGTCATAATAGGAGTTATTATTAGTGAAAAAAATATTTGAATAAAATTATAAATCGCGTTCTAATATTAACAGTAACCCAATTGAGATTATTGTTCTTTGGCATTATTCTTCAAATTTCATGAGATAGGTAGTATTTGACCACTGGTCACATGATTTCGGTTCCGGAAGTGGATTATAAATTGCATTTGACATGTACGTGATAAATTTTGAAAAACGGATTTTACAGTTCTGAAATCCGAGAAGATTTAGACTCATCAGCGCAGCAATTCTTTGCATGAAGCGCTTCTTACTAAACCTAAACTTTAAAGAGGTATTTCTTCTGTGCTATTGTCTTTCCGTAATCCACTTCCATGCTTACTGTTTCGTGGCCGATGGTGTCAAAATGTACAGACAAATTCTCCAATCAGCCCGAATTTTAGGGCTATCAGAGGATCCTCTTGAAACTCTCTCCAAGAGAGATAACTTCCTAGTCACTGTCTTTTGCAGAAGTCGATCATATCTTTATTCAGTTTTGAGAACTCTCCAGGAAATAGCCAATTGAGAAGAATCTACTTGAGCATCCACGGTCCTTGAAACAAACAATTAGGTATGTAGATGATTATCTAACGCTCTTCCTGCAGACAAACATCCAGATCATGAAAGTAGCCTGCTTTCAACGGGCAACCAACGACTGAAAGTGTCCAAGGTAGGTAATGATATTACTGTCCTAACAACCGCCAACTACAATCTAGCTGTTAACCAGTTAATAATGTAACGAGTTTTCGAGTCAGTGCAGTGACGAGGTGCAAATCAAAACGCGTCTGTTTTTGGTTCCATAACGAACCTGGATACCAGTTTATCACGGCGCCATACTCCGCAGTCTGAATATGTCATGTAGTCGTCTAAAGTCAAATTTTCATGGCCGGACTTATAGTATACCCCAAGAAAATATAGAACACCAGCAGATACTGAAATTGCTTTTTTATAAGCTTTACCAATAAATGTTGCCAAAAATCTAACCTACTAGATATTTCTCTGTTGAATTTTCCATAAAATTTCGATGAGATTTCTTCATCCTTTTCTGTTATAATAGAATTCGTCCGTAACTATTTGGTATTGGTTTCTTTTTTTAGTGACTTCAATGCTTCTAAAGCTTCCACGTATTTCACAGGCAGTATGTGAATATTTTTTGCCTCAATTTTCTTCGAAAAAGGCTTCTATATTCTGCTCGCTATTCGAATCATGAGCCTAAGTTCCTCTTGATCTTCCTATTGTAACGAGGTTACCAAATTTTCCGTGCATCCCGCTCACTCAATTAGTTAAAAATTAGCGCGAGTTCAACCAATCGGATTTTATGAGACTCACCCCGAGATGGAAGTAGATTCTAAAAGGGGTTGCAACCCGCTGCAATTCCTCACGACCACGTGACCTCGTGTCGCCCGCGCTGGTTGAGTGGATACGAAGCGCGATCGTCACCGTACCCACACTGCTTGCGCGCGACCATCGAAGCCGGTATCAGAGTTTTCGGCTATAAATACAGCCGCCCTGCAGGAAAACAAGAATTCTGTTTCAGATTCCGTTTCCGACGCAGCTCCGACCAGACCAGCCACCAGTCAAGGACACCATCACCCGATCCGATCTCCGCCGCCTTCAGCCCGCCCCGACGCCGTCAACAATGGTAAAGGGTAAAGTAGTACGGGGCGCTATAAGGTCTGTTCCCACAGGAGTCTCTGACAGTTTGCAAACTGTCAGTAAGCATCGCCCATACATGTTTTCAATGCTGTCGTTACAAGATAAATCTGTAACTCAGCTGAGCGATTGTTTCTGACAGGTTGCAAACTGTCAGAGACTCCTGTGGGAACAGACCTATTATCTTTCCATGACGAGCCAAGAAACCGTCTGCTGCACGTATTACGGAGTATCTCTCTTGGTACCATTCCAATACTTAGGTCATGTTCTGGACTGCGGATTGAATAGCGTTGAGGCTCTATTCTCTCCGTAGAGGATTGGTGGGGACGTCTCCGACCAAACTGATACCGAGTGACGCACCCCTCTAATTTTGTCCTTCTCTTTTCTTCGAACCTGCACTTTACTCAGTTGAAAAATTCGCGCATGCGCCTATGCGCCTAGCAATAATAATCCCATGGAACTATTTACCGATACCGTTATTTTTCCGCGACCTTATTACCGTGATTCTCCGTCACGTACATAGTATTTATACATTATTCTCGTCGACTTCGTTCACTGTCCCCGCTCTTCGACTCTCCTTCGATTGCATTTTTCACTGTTCCTTTTATCTAATGTGATTGTGCAAATAAAAACTTCATTTTATAAGTTAGATTCTGTGTTTCATTTTGAGGGTGCGCATATTGACCTCTCGTTTTCCGTCTCCACTGTAACAAGCTACCTGGAGCACGTGGGCCCTTAACCACTATAATCCTAAGGGTGGCGCCCGAGTTTCCCAAAAACCCCTTAACCGTCCGGAAAACCAAAGTAGTGCTACAAATTTGACGCCCGAGCAAGGATCATTCTGCGCATGTCAATGAAGTCAGCTTATGACCGTTTGTTTTGGTGACGCCCGTAGGTCTGACCGTTACCGTACCGTTTTTTTTAATGTGAATGCCAGACCGCATAGCGCCGGAACAAATGAACCGCTCCTATTAGACCGTTCGGCGTATGCGTTTTCATCAGTCCCATGAGTTGGAGTTCTTAACCAATGCTGTCCGAGCTCTCAAAAGAGCAACATCTAGTAAACCGTTCCGAGAGATCCGACCGAGCCCTCAAAGGTGCAACATCTGAAAAGACTCACCGCCAGGCCGTAAACCTGATCACTTGGTCGCTCAAAACCCAACCGTAAACTTGATCACTTGGAGAATCTCGCTTCAACCGTCTACCTGATCCCTCAGAAAGACTTTCTAGCTCCGACCGCCGACACTCCGAATTTTAACCGTACCGTACCGCCAATTGTACCCGTAAGCCTGCTAACGATCCTGCTGTTAACTATCCGCTGGAGGCCGTTGTTATTTGAACTCTTATTTTGTATTCCTCTACCGTTGAAAGACTGTTAACGCATAGTTACAATCTAAGGTTACAATGACAGGAGGCACCAGCAACAATGGACACCCACCGGTTACCAGTACACCGCATACCACTGCCGCTACAGTCGTTACAACCAGTCCAGTAAGCCCGTCCGTTATTGTACCAATAACCACTTACTCCGTTTGGTACGATACCAACGATGGCCGTGTGAGTTGGGTTTATCTATTGAAGAAAGACGAACTGATTCCTGAACTAACAAAGTTTGGACTGGACACTACAGGTACCGCTGAAACATTGAAAAAGCGATTAGTAACATTCTATTACCAAGGAAAGGCTTCACCCGCAACGACCAGTATGGCAGGAACTTTCCGACCAGTTCCGGCACGCAAACGATGCAGGCAAATAGTACGGCTGCCCTTACTCAGACTACTGCTAATACTGGGGCACCAGGTACAACTCAGGTGCTTAATCCGCCGATACCGACTATAACCATTTACCAACCGCTGCCTTCTCCAGTCGCATACGGATCTCCGGAATGGCCCTAAAAGTACATTAATGGAATATCCATTTTAATGGACGAACCGATATGGTGACATTCATAAAGAGATTACAGGAAATTTGTGCCTTCCAGGGGATACTGATAGATCGTTTACTACCGCATATTCCTAAACTTTTACAACGCATCCCCATGGTACCGAAATAACCGAGCTCCCTGGGATACCTGGGACGTTATTTTCTGCAGGATTTTCGCAGCTTTTATTTTCCGATCAACTATGCCGCCGACTTCAACTATGCCGCCGACTTGGAGATTGGAATTAGCCGCCGGCTCCGACACCCGAACGAGCCAATTCACCGGTATATTACAGACTTGCAAACCCTCATCAGGAGGCATGGAAGCATAACTCCAGATCAGGAGCTTCAGTTGTTATATAGAAACCTTTTACCTGAATACTGGCAACATATTCGGAAGGGCGACATTACCGATGTGGTTTCATTTTCCCGCACCCTAAGGGAAATCGAAAGCCTATTGTCCGAACTGAAGGCAATCCCGTCAACATCTAGAAGCACGCACCGTCCAACGGCCGGCATTTCTGTTACCCAAAACCCGTCTATAAACCCAGCACCAGCGAGAGGCTGGCAACAGAATCGGAGAACCGAACGGCCTAATAGAACCGAATGGCCTAATAGATCCGAATCGTACCAACGGAATTCTTGACCAGACAATCCGTCCGAATCAGTGATTTGCTGGAAGTGTGGAGAAACTCGACACTGCAGAACAGAATGCCGGAGTACTGCAAAATTATTCTGTTCCCGTTGCAGAAAACCGGGTATAATGTCCCGAGACTGCCCATGTGACCGTTCCCGTTCAGCAAACTAAAAAGGTGCTCTCCTACTACTCCTACTACTCAGCCCAGCACCGTAAAATGATAACCTCAAATAGACATCCATATTTTTCGAAAGATGTAAACCCGATTCGTCAACCAGATTCCCGACCGCATGTATGCATTTACATCGAAGAGGCCCCGTTTTAAGCTTTAATCGATAACGGTGCCGCCAAGTCGTATATAGAGGATCTCGCTGCAGATATCTGCCGTCTCAGTGATTATTCCGAAGTACAACCTGAGGTCCGAAGTGCCAAAGTGGCCAATGGAGGTGTAATCGACATTTCTAGAGCTTACCAGATACCGTTACAGCTCGAAAAAATTACACTGACCGAAACCATCAGCTACTTTCCGAATTTGACTTCCTATATTGTGCTTGGGATGGATATTCTGAATCGACACAAATTTCATCTGGATTTGAGCAGTAGCGGGATTTATTTGAACAACTATCTTCTACCGTTTCCTACTTTATGTAGTCCTATTGGTCCGATAGATGTCCCGCCGAATTTGGTGTTAACGTCCGCCGAAGAGGTACTATTGAAGAAATTCTTGGATCACGAGTAGCCGAAGTTTGACCAAATCAAAGGCACTACCCCGTTAGTGGAACATTCTATTAACTTGCTTAAACCCGATCCAATTAAACAGAGGTACCGTCCTCAGAATCCCAGAATGCACGAATAACACCGAAGTACGAAAGATGTTGGATGATGGGATCATTGAAACCTCCAACAGCCCCTGGAGTTGACCCGTAGTCATTGTGAAAAAGAAGGATGGGAAACACCTTTTCTGCATTGACTTCCAAAAGGTCAATGCCGTTAGCCGAAAGGATGCTTACCCTCTCCCGTTTATTAATTCTATACTGGACAAACTAAGAAGGCGCCGATATATTTTTAGTATCGACCTTAAACAAGGAAACTGGCAGATTCTGCTTACCGGAAAAAGTAAGCCTGTTACCGCTTTCACCGTACCAGAAATGGGTTTATACCAGTTTCGAGTAATGCCTTTTGGGTTACACTCCGCTCCCGCTACATTCCAGAGGTTAATGGAGAGCATCATAGGCCCAGAATTGGATAGTTATTGCTTTGCATACTTGGATGACATTATAATCCTTGGCGAGACTTTTGAGGAACACCTGAACAATTTAACCGGAGTTTTCCAACACATTTCATGTACAATGTCTTATACCTATCTTTAACTGTTTCGGAAATATTGACAGTTGAAAATTGACATTTTTGCAACTTTGACAGCTGTAAAACCTAAAAGGTTAATTTTACAGCCAAACCGATCATACATTCCTATCTTAGTTTTTCATGAACTATCATTGACACCAACCTATAATTTAATCCATGATTAAACGTTCCGCTTAAATTATTAATCTTCTTTTAAATTCAAAGTTGGTGTCAAATGATAGCTTATGAAAATCTAAGACAAGAATGATCACTTGTAAAATCGGTTTTTCTCTAAAATTAACCGTTTAGGTTTGACAGTCTGTAAAAGATGCGAAAAAGTCAATTTCAAACTGTCAATATTCCCGAAACAGTTGAAGATAGGTATATGACATTATACATGCATGAAATATGTTTAGAATTGTCCACAAAATCCAGAAATGTCATTATATACAGGGAGAGTCATTTAAAAAAATATAACTTTGTATCACCACTACTTATTGGGCCACCCTGTATACTGGAAAATAATTTGGCAACGTAGTACTCATGTTGATCTACAAGTTTTGTATTTAGATTTTTTTTCAGTCTCTGTTAGTATAGGAGATATGGACGACCGCGCGCTTAATAACTCACCCGTTATCAAATTTTCCGTGCATCCCGGTCACTCAATCAGTTAAAAATTGAACCAATCGGATTTTATACCTACTCACTCCGGTGTGGAAGTAGATTCTGAGAGGGGTTGCAACCCGCTGTCGCCTGCGCTGGTTGAGTGGATCGTCACCGTACCCACACTGCCTGCGCGCGACCATCGAAGCCACTATCAGGGTTTTCGGCTATAAATATAGCCGCGCTGCCGACAACAGCTCCTACGAGACCAGCCACCAGCCAAGGTACGCCATCACCCGCTCCGTTCTTCCGCCTCCTTCAGTCCGCCGCGACGCCGCCAACAATGGTAAAGGGTAAAGTAGAGTAAGAGGGCAGGTATTTTCTTCTAAGGGGTATAAGGATCATATATTGTATAGTGTGCTGCCGGACCGATTACGGGGCTCTCTATTCTTTCCATGACGAGGCAAGGGGTTGTCTGCTGGACCGATTACGGGGGTGCACCCTTGCTTCTATCCTTATATTTCTGACACTTCTTTCATTGGCATATTCATTGGTAACATGGATTGCACGGGGTTGCTGCCGGACCGATTACGGAGCGCTCTAATCTTTCCATGACAAGGCAAGAGAACGTCTGCTGGACCGATTACGGGGCATCTCTCTTGGTTCTATTCCAATACTTATGTCATGTTCTGGACTGCGGATTGTATAGCGTTGAGGCTCTATTCTTTCCGTAGAATATTGGTGGGGACGTCTCCGACCGAACTGATCCGGATGTGACGCACCCCTCTAATTCTGTCCTTCTCTCTTCTTGGCACCTGCACTCTACTCAGTTGCATAGTTCGCGCATGCGCTTGGAATATGAGCTGAAGGTAGGAGTACAGCAGCTTAGCAACAATAATCCCATGAAGCTATCTATACCGATACCGTTATTTTTCCGCGATCTTATTACCGCGATTCTCCGTCACGTACATAGTATTTATACATTATTCTCGCCGACTTCGTTCACTCTCCCCGCACTTCGTCTCTCCTTCAATTGCATTTTTCACTGTTCTTTTTATCTTATGTTATTGTGCAAATAAAAACTTTATTTTATAAGTTGGATGCTGTGTTTCATTTTGAGGATGCGCATATTGACCGCTGGTCTCCACTGTAACAAGCTACCTGAAGCACGTGGGCCCTTAACCACTATAATCCTAAGGGTGGCGCCCGAGTTTTCCGAAAACCCCTTAACCGTCCGAAAAACCAAAGTAGCGCTACACTATTCTTGGTCGCCCTGGTTCCCAAAGTTGAAAAAGTCATGCGTCACGTTTATTCTCCTCTTGAGTATTCCTGTCATTGCTTGCTTGGTGAAAGATGACAACGATGAGACGATGCTATACTGTTTACAATGAAATCCGCCAAAAATAACCTCATGTGTTTTTATGGGAAGGTATAATGTCAAATACCTATCGCATTTAGTTCGAAAGGTTTTTGACTTACAGTTTGAATAGTATTGTCTACATAGAATGGATATTCTTTGAAATTTTTCAATTTTTCATACAATCTAGTGGCCTTCTCTTTAAAGCTATATCATAACTATAGGTCACGCCAAGCTAAGAAACCCTGATAAGCAAAGCTATAGGCAGATTATGGACACTTTGTTATTTCGATAACAATAGTATATTTTGTATTTAGGTGGAAAAGTGACACATTCTCAGCAGGCAATCACTGAAGGCCGAGAATGTGCTTTTCCATCGAAATACTCATACTATTTTTTCTGCGATCGTTTAAATATCTGTTAAATGTTTGTCTTTTTGTTCCAATTGTTCAGCAGTACGAGAATCACTTTCCCGGCCTAGGCCGGAAAAGTGATTCACGTATTGTTATTCATTGATGCCTTAGCAACTATTGAGGCATAATTGAAATACCAGAATATTGAGTTTTGCGACCTGTCAACCGGTCAAAAATGATGACACTTCTTGTCAATCGCAGAAAAAATACGTAACAAGTAGTGAGTATTTTTATAAATGAAATACTATGCAGTAATAGGGGTCATTTATAGATTAATTTGTTATTATCCTGCAGAAGAATTAGACAGCAAAATACATACCTTCAATACTTGACTTCCCAATGCACCTATAACAACTGCCGCTGTATAAAATACACTGCCACATGTAGCCTGAAACCAACCAGCTAGTTCATTGCAAACACTAAAAAAAAAATATATTTTTGTCTCATTATATCCAACAGAAATTTTACTTTAAAATATCCTGATGATATCGTATGCAATATTGCAATTGCTTCCACCGAACTCTCTCATCTTCCGCTTCGAAGACTTCTCTGAATAACGTTTTCAGATGATTCAGTCTTGCTACCAATATTTCAACAGCCTCAAATTGGATGATGGTTATGCAAAAAGCGGATGGTAAATAAACGAAGATCCCTATTACTTGAAAAAGGTAACATAAAATGAAAGCCATGCCTTCTTGTTGCTTTATGGGCATCCACGTTGGGTTGACCATACCGCAGGGTTCGTTTAAATTTTTAAGAGCGTTCATTTTCTGACATTGAGGTACTTGCATATAAGAAACAAAACAGTACCACAGCATGCCCGGTACTGTATAGAGGATACACATTAATGCAATAAAATTGCCTTTCTTTACAATTTCGTTGTATTCTGGTGGTTGTCCGAATTCTTTAAATTTTAACAAATTATTAAAAAAATTAGACCATTCTGCGTGGTAGAAAAGAAATGTGAGACAAACGCTCATGCAACCGACAAAACCAGTAAGATCGCCTATATCTTCACTTATTTCCAAATCGATGTGATCTTTGAAATAAATATTTTAGTAAGAACTGTTTTTTTTTTTAATAGGGCTCTTACCTTTAATTATAAGAACCAAATGAACCAAAGTTCCCAAGCCGGACAACAAAGAAATCGTACGTAGTAATGCAGACAACCCAAAAAAACATTTTGTATAGGTTTTTCCTTCATCCAGAGGGAACCATAAAAATATATTTAGAAGCGTCAACGTCCAATAAAATGGCTTATCTTTTGCTATAGCGTACATTTTTTGCTGTTACGTGAATGTATACTCTTTTCAAAATGTTAATGCCTTATATATTTCAAAATAATGGTGTAATTTATAAAGGGATTTGCCTGTACTTAAATTAAGTAGGTATAAAGCATTTTATGTAAATTAGAAAGTGTGACAAAAAGCTTTTTATTTAAAAGAGTTTTCGGAATAATATAAAATGATTTACAGATAATGTGATATAATTTGAAGCAGATAAAAAGGGTAGAAGCGGCTCCTAACGTTTAATTCTGGTTGTGCTTTCCTATAGTTTATTTAACATCGGTATTGGTATATATTAATTAGGTAATAGAATCTTTTAATTTAAATCATTCTCGTGAGATTATTGAGTGTCTACTATGTAAGGGAAAAGAAATAAAAGAGAAGAGCTTGATTAAAATTTTCATCAATTATACAAAAAATGTATAAATTCTCTACTATGGAGAAACGCTCCGCTCATGAAAAGTGACTCTTCGTTTGCCACCACATACCGGAGAGCAGATTCGTCAAAACATTTCTTTATTTTATCAGCCAGCAACAAAACTACGAACCCTAAATACAAAAATGCCTGAAAGCCGGCCAGTGCTCCCATTTATTGAGGATCACTTGTCTTGTGGTGGGTTCCTGGCTCCTACATTTCTTGGTAACACCTAAAAGTGGCTGTTTGGCACCGAATGACCCGTTTGGGATTCTGTTCTGTTTAGGAGATGCTCACTAAGAGATGATATTCGTATACCCCAAAAGAAGAGAATATACTCGAATAAAAACTACGGAGATTTATATCGCATAGCTTACGGGGAAAAAGCTCCGCCCAGGGAGGGCTAGAAAGCGAGGATTCAGATGTCAGCTCGGAAAAAAATGCAATAAAGTTCGTTGATATACGCCAACATAATGACACAACTTATCCTTGTCGTGACGGGATGCGTAGCAAAGGGACAAATTAATAGAGACTTGCTTGGTAGGTACTTAATTTAAGGCATATTGTGTGTAGAATAAAATTAGGTAGTAATTATCAAAGGATAACCCTGATTCATAGTGCCTTTTCTATAAGGGCATAGGGCTGAGCGAATAGATATGCCATAGAGATAGGGATAACGATCTCTATCCGTTACAGAGTTCAAGCCCAGGGAAGCTACCTGAAAGACACAAAGCTACTTTAGGTAAGATTCGCTGACGTGAAGGTCGTGAATTGCACTGGGTGGAGACTTGAAGCCAGAGGAGCTTGTCCAAAAGACGTTATTACATATCCGTATGTTGCCAATCACTATTTATATCCGTTTATCGCTGATTCGCCAATCAATAAGTCGGTCAAAAATATACAGTTTAATATTTTCCTAAGTAGCCTTGCTGGTTGACAATATCAAGCCTTATTAGGTAACCACTTTTGAAGTTGGATTGACTTCTATAGATGATCTAGTTGAATGCATTATTTGTTCCTCCATCAATGAGCTATACATTTAGAAAAAAGAAGAGAATGAAGATGATGACGACGTTGAATATAAATATCAAGGCACTAGCAATAAAAATGAGGATGATGGCGATGTCTAAGACCCACAACGATTGATAATTGAAGACAGTGTAACAGCCTGTGGTACGCTTACCTGATATCAACTGCTATATGCTAACCATTGCAGGTGCAACGACGTGCCGGCTTGACTAGTCTTCCTGAACTGGGCCGGTATTCTGGTTCTCAAAAACGCTCACCGCTTTCTAGTCGCTCGGCACTTTAAATGCAAATTTACATTGAAAGTGCCGAGCGACTGAAAAACGGTGAGCGTTTTCGAGAACGAGAATACCGGCCCTGGTGGTATATCTCTGGTGAGCGGATTTATAGACTTTGGTCTTTTCCTCGGAGACTGGCTCAGATATTGAGGAGCGGTTGGAGTCGTTTTCACTTTCGGAAGTTGGAGTAGCCTTCAATTTCTGGTCCACTGCTTTATGATGCGGCTGAATGATGGTTGACAGAGACCGGGTGTTGTCAGGGTATAAAAAAAAATAAAAACTTTAGAGATTGGCGGTCTTATCAACAGTTACGTAACATGATAACAGCAGCTGTTGCTCGAGAGAAAAAAGCATATTTTAATATGCAAGCTAATAGAAACTCAAAAAATTTATGGGCCTCTCTAAAATCCTTAAATCTGCTACAAAAAGAAAATAAAGTCGCCCTTCCTGAAAATCTAAGTAACGTTGAAAATATTAATAAGCATTTCATTGAATCAATACCAAAAATAACTGTTGATGACTCCCTGAGGAATTTTTACAGGAATAACATGAAAGATAACATATCAAGTGTCTTTCGTTTTAGTCCAGTGACAGAATCTGAGGTCTTGAATATTATTAAGAAAATTAAGTCAAAAGCAACAGGATTGGACGGTATAAATATTTTAACTTTAAGCCTCTGCTTACCGTTCCTTTCACCCTATTTAACGCATATTATAAACTATTGCTTGAGAGAATCCGTTTTTCCGTCCTCCTGGAAAAAAGCGAAGGTCACCCCTCTTCCAAAAATAAAAAATCCCGAATCTTTCAATAATCTCAGACCAATTAGCGTTCTACCGACGATGTCCAAGATCCTAGAAAAATCATCGAGACTCAACTGAGGACGCATATTGAAAAATATGATCTTTTACCTGTGCACCAATCAGGATTTCGGCCCAATTATAGTTGCGCAACAGCACTTACCAAAATAACAGACGATATATTTAGAGCAATCGATGAAAGCAAACTAACAGTCCTTGTACTTCTTGACTACTCAAAGGCTTTTGACACATTGAATCATCAGCTTTTGAGCTCCATTATGCATTAGATACTTGGGATTGTCCGGGAGTGCAAACAAACTGATGGATGAGTTTTTACTGGGTAGAAATCAAGCGGTTTTTTATGATAACAATCTATCCTCATTTTTGCAGGTAGCGACAGGCGTTCCTCAAGGAACAATTCTAGGTCCCCTGATGTATTCTTTGTACGTCTTTAGCTTTCCTTCTGCGTTTCTTTCTTGCTTTCATCATTTTTACTGCGATGACACTCAGTTATACTTGCCTTTTTCTATAACTGAATCCGATCAAGCTGTAGCTGCTACTAATGTACTGGATCTTTCTAAAAAACACGGTCTTCAGTTAAATACTCAAAAGTCAGGTATGATTGTCTTTGGACCAAGGAATCGCAGAGAGGAATTTGTGGCTGCGTATGGGGGGTGCATTAAACTGGGTTCTGAGCCTATCGTTGAGCACAAATCTATTAAAAACTTAGGCCTTATTATGGATCAGAATTTAAGGTTTACAGATCATGTTAACAGGTGTCTGCAGAGGGGTTATGCGAACTTAAGGACAATTTACCAGCATCGCTCGTGTTTGAACAAAAAAATCAAAACCATGCTATGTGAAAGTTTTGTTTTGTCACAAGCTAACTATTGTGACACCATTTACAGCCCGTGTTTGAGTCAAAAAATCAAAAACTGCAAAATTCTTGCTTGCGATTGGTCCATGGTATAGGTAAATTTAGTCCAATAAGCCACACTCTAATAACTAGCGAATGGCTAAATATGTTTAACAGACGATATTTACATGCAGCGACCTTTTATTTTAATATAATTAAAAACAAAGCTCCCAACTATCTGCACAATAAAATTAGATACAGATCCGATGTTCACAATATAAATATTCGGTTCAGTGGAAGGTTAACACCCCCATTACACTCTCTACAAATCTTTAAAAGATCCTTCTCATATCAGATTGTATCAGTATTTAATCAGTTCCCATCCTTATTTCTAAAAACTAATAATAAACTATCATTTAAAAAAAAAATGTTTCAAATTTTATTTGAAAAACAATTTCATTCTGCAACTTGAACGTCGATGAGTACCTATGTTTTTTCTTTTCTCCTTGTTTTTTTTTTTTTTTTTCTTTCTCTGTTTCTCTCCTTATCTGCTTACATTTTCATTTATGGTAGTAATAATTATGAACATGTTAATTATACTGCTGTGTCCTTTTATTTTTATTGTACGGGCTTTTTATTTGGTAGGTATAAACAAAATTGATATTTTTTTTTTTTTAGGGTTTTATTTTTTTTGTTTTTTATATTAAATCTATTCTAAGGATCTTTAAGTGCAATCTAACTTTTCTGTCTACAGGGTTAGGTGGAAGAACAGATACCGATTTTTTTCTAAAAATCGGTAAACTGAATCTCGCCCTTTTTTTTTATGAATATCTTGTAATTTCTTATACTTTATTTTGAAAATAAAAGACCTTTATTATTATTATTATTATTATTATTATTCCCCAGGAAATTTTGCACAAGTCATTCACCCATTTACTGATCCATAAATGTCTGGAACAGAATGGCTAACATATACATATACAGCATTTTGTATAGTTTTATGCAGTTTTTACTAACTTTTTATTGGGCAAACATAAGTTCCAAGCTTTGTAAATATGCGTTTGCAAAAATACCAAGATTTCGATTTTGATTTTTCACGGCTAAAACTTCAACTTTTAGGGAATATGTCTATTTGTACATGGATTTTTTGACGTTGTGATATACAGGGTGTTCCGTTAAAAATAGTGGAGAATTACAATGTTGAAAAACGGATTTTTTTTACTTGCCCTGTATAAGTATCAAACAATTTTGCAACCTACTAGAAAAAAACTTTAGATCAAGAGAAATCGAATGGCGCAAACCGCAGGTAGCTAGCACACCTGGTTTAAAAGTTATAATCATTTGAAATGGTTCACTATTGGCTGGGACACCCTGTAGTACAAGAGCGAGTATGATGCTGTCCCAGTTACTTTTGGTGACGATGGTACATGTATTATTTTCCGGACGAATAATAATAAAATAATAATACGGAAATTCCGGGTTAATAAAAAAAAAATTCGACCGGAAGTTCCGTAACATTATCCACACTGTAACATAAAATTAGACCAGCTTTTACCTTTTTTATATTTGACAATTTCACTTTCATGTCTACACAAAATTCTTAAAGTCTTATACTAATTTAC